CTCACTTAGTTGCTGATAATATGCACTAATTGTGCTTTATTTACATTAGCCCATATTACAAACCAATTGTTGAGGCTCTAGCGCACGCATGGATCCTATATTAGCAATTGAATTTTAGTTCCGCTGCATGCTGTAATAAAATCCTGTGAAAAAGGATTGATGACTAGAATTCAGGACCATATTCCTACCATCTTGGTCTGTATGGTTGTTATAGTTTTGTTCGAAAACTAAAGTTTGTGCCCCTTCAACAATTCCCTTTGGATGGTTCGGCATGGTGGCTGCTGCTTTGCCAACCTGGTGATGTTCTATTTAGACGATTGTTTATTCAAAATTGTGGCACATGATGCGGATTTTTGCGCATGACCAAGAGATGCCTTCATATTATTAATGGTTTCACTGATGTGATACCAACCATGCATTTTTTCCGAATAGACTGCAAGATTATTGCCGCATATATTATTAGAGCAAAAAAAAAAAAGAAGTTAACCCTGTTTTTATGGCAAAACCAGTCCCAAAACTGAACAACCTCATCTCGATAAGCCGGCAAGATCCACCACTACTAGAGGACCACTCACTATTCAGCCTGTTCGCTTGTTGGTTTCAGCCAGGGCTTATCAATCAGCCAACAGTGTTTTCCTCTCACAATGAACCAGCACCAGCCAGGCTTATCAGCTCAGAAACCAACCAGCGAACAGGCCGATTAACAAAACGAAGCCCAAAAACAGTGACTAACAGAAGTCCCACCGCAAGCAACTTCACTTACATATATAGGGTAAAAGAATCAGGCCTCTTATACTCAGCCTATTGATTCCGTTTTAATTTATATTCAGTAGATAGCAGCCTAGGTTTCAAAGATAATATGGGTTACGAGAAATGCCATGCATCTTCCGTCCAATTGCTGCCCGACGGGTCAAAATTTTTTTTTTGGTTCCTCAATGCACAGATCTTATTCTCTTTTCAGCAAGATTATTAAAATTAGTTTTGGAGCGGTGCCACCACCAATTTTATTGGATTTCTGAAATAAGGTTCGAACATCTGAACTATATTATGTCATTACCATCCTCCTAAGAGCATTACTGAAGAACTCCATACTGAAGCTACTTGAATTGCATGCTAAAATTATTTACCTGTAGTTTTTGACCAATTTTGCAGATAACACACCCTGCAAGAGTTGGTGATTCATCATCAGGGATGAAATGCCTGCGATGCTGAGCTGGTTGCTTTGTGCCAACCAGGTAAATACCGAAATTATTAATTACTGTCATATGTTCCCATTTCAGGCACTTATCCAATAGTAATAGGTTTCCATTAGTTTAAATGTCTTATGCATAGATATAAACACCACCCAGGCTCTAAGTTCCCAAACCATATCCGTACTCATGATGCAAATGAAAGTTTTCATTGTCTACAGCTCAAAGTTACAAAGAAGACCTTTACTACTAGCATGGTCAATAATATTGCCTCCATGGTATATATCACGGTTAGTTCTGCTACAAATCCAATTCCGGAATTTTTGGACGAGTGGGGCGCAGAAACTTTGAGGTTTATTTTCGTTTCCTTGTCAGTGTGTACACGCATTTTTATTCGTACCCTCCAAAACCTTCAGCCTGTTCGGGAGACCGTATCGTATCGTGGATTATTTACTGCTGGCTGGTTTGGTGTGAGAGAAAAACACTGTTCCCGGTTGAAAATTTACGATCGTTTACGAGCAAGCGAACATGCTGCTTATTGTTCTGTACTATTTTCCGCAGGAAGTATCACCGGTCACCATTCCACAGACCGCTTAAGTTTTTGTCAACGGTTGTTGGGTTCAAATTCATAGGAGCTCTAACCTGTTGATTAAGACTCTTAGGCCCCCTTTGGATCACAGGATAGGAAACATGCAGGGATAGAAAAAACATAGGAATTGATGTGCTAGGTTCCTTCAATCCTATAGGGTTCAAAAACACAGGAAAGCAAATAAGGAGCTCTTTGGCAGCACCAAAGGAAAAAAATGCAGGAATTCTGAACAAGTTTGAGAAGCTCTTTGGCTAGCCATTGCATTCACAGCAGAAAACTTGTCGTTACATGTGCTTATACATATATGCAGCAGCATACAAACACAGCCTTCTCATTTGCATCCTGAAGAGACCAACAACTAGCTCATCCCCAAATTTGCTCAGCTTAGTCACAAAGCATTGCAACAAAACCTTCTTGACATACAGCTAGCTCCTCCCCAAATCTGCTCAGTCATCGTCAGCATCATCAAGCATATGTAGTTGAGTAGTACCACGGCATCGTTTCCCAAATCAAAGATAGAATATACATTCTCACATTAGTAAAAAAAGGGAATTGCATGGCTCAGATGGGAAAAAGAAAGTGTGCGGAAGATACAGAAGAAGCTTACAGATAACTTGCAAGATGTGGATTCGGGAGGGTGCCGCCGCTGGGATGGAGCCGATGTCGCGTGGCCGGCGTAGGGAGGATCGCCGACGTTGAGGAGGCTCGCGTCGTCTCACGGGTGGGTGGATGTCATGCGGTCGGCGGTAGGGCGTCGCTTGGCTAGCGATGGGGGCGACCCCGTCTCCCTCTGCGAGGACGGCAGGGACCCCCTCTCCCTCTGTTCTTGTTGTTTTGGTTCTCCAGAAGCAGCGCAAGGCCGAAAAAAATTGCACGAAGAGACACGGAAGAAAGCGTGAGTGGTTTCGTTTCGTGCCAGAAAACTTTCCATAAAGTCCGAGCTCTTGTTTACTTTCCTGTGAAACTGAACCATAGGAATCCAATCCTATGGAATATTTCCTTTGTATTTTCTGTGAACCAAAGACAAGTGTAGGAAAAAATCAAAAGGAATTCAAATCCTACAAAATTCCTTTACCAATTCTACCATCCAAAGGGGCCCTTAGCTGGTTGAGCTTGTTCGGCTGGCATTAATTTTACACTGTAGCAGCTGGAAACACTGTATAGCAGCTGGTTTTTTTGAGAGAAAAACACTGCTCCGGTTGGAAAAAAAAGCTGGCCAGCCAGCCGATTGTGGCCAGCTGAACAAGCTATATTTTCTACTTGCACGTAAGAAACACAAATTAGATTACCCACTCACATATACAAGCTTCTGATTGAGGTAATGTTTTTTAACAATAGTGTTTGATATGCAAATCAGACTTCTTTTCATAACACAGGTATAGAATTTTCATTTACTTTGGTAGGGTATACATAGACAGGTGACACTGCATGTTATTAAGGGTGCACTTCAATGGCATTAGTATCTCAGATCTGCTTGGTCCTCATTTTCAGATTCACGTCAATGCTGAAGTTCATGTGGTTCATCATATCGGTCTTAAAGAACTTCGACTCTACACGAGTTATGGACGTTGTAGTCGTCCATTGTTTGTTGTTGAGGGCCAGAAGCTGGCTCAACAGAAGGCACATATCGGAGCCTTGCAACAAAGGACCTGCAATTGATCAACATCTGATCTGAGGCCCTTGTGTATGAAAAGGATTTTGTGTACCGTTCTGGAGACTCTTCTATGTAAATCAGTTCGCTTCTCTTCGTTCCAGTACATTGTTGTGACTCTATAGTCATGGATGAGTAAAGGATTCAATACTTTCTTTTTTTCTTCTTCCTGAAGTCTTCAATTCCTAACATACTAAGTCCATGGATAAGTTCAATTTCATGCCTGTATTACACATTTGAACATTTACACTTCAGTCATAGTTTGCCTACGCGCGTCCTGCACTGGTGGGTCTAGGAAGAGAGGAGAATCCAAAGGCGGGTCTTGCGTCTTGGCTGCGTCGCGTGACGGAAATGCCCCTCCGAACCCCCATGTCTCTTCTGACTTCTGAGTTGAAGCAGCTCAGGTGGCTGCCAGCTAGTGGGCGGCAGGGTCCCGCCAAAAAACGCGAAGGAATCGTGAAATACTGAGATCAGTTAAATTTTATAGAAAGATAGGGCTATTTTTATAGAGGAAAAAAATATACTACGTTGTAAAGAAGACCTGATCGCTGAAGAAGAAGTACGTACAGTCTGCGGACTAGTCTGGCCGCTGGTCAGCAAGCAGGAAGAAGACAAAAAAGAAGAAGTGGCGAGAGGCGCGTGCAGACCCGATCCGAGGCCATGCCCACACGTATGTGCACGTCACCGTCGTCACGGCAGCGGCAGATGCACGAGGCCATGCCCGTTGAGGCCTTGAGTTGACCTACTCCGGCCGCTTCCGTTCCGTGCCGGCTATCTATATATCCGAACGAGTCGGCATCCCTGGCCTCCCATGGTTGTTGATGATTATACCGAAACACACGAACGAGACCAAAAGAAAGCCAAAACGCGCAGCCGCCGCCGTGGAATTCAGCGTGCTCGTCGCCGTTTCCGTTTTTTCCTCCCAGCACATGTCATCACTCAAACCAAACTCAACGCGCTTTCATTCATTCAGTTTTAGCAGCTAAACAGTCCAGTACTCATTCCAATTTTTTTTTAAAAAAAACACTAAATTTATTTCATTTCATATTTGTTGCATCAACCAATCCGAGTGCCCAATGAAAACCCCAACGCGGCATCGGTCGTGTTCGTGTCGTCCGAGCAGGCAACTTCCACGACCACACCTGCGTGCCTTTTCCTTTTCTTTTCCTCCCCACGGGTGGGCCCACCCGCCCCCCACTCCACCTCGTGTCCACCCACGCCTCCGCCGGTTAAAAACCTCTGCTTTCTCCCCCACCCAGCATTTCTCTTCTCCACCCACCCAAAGGCAGCAGAGAGGGGAATCAGTCGTCGGTCCTCGGCCTCGCTTCCTCCCACACCACCAACCAGCCCTTCCTCCTCCTCCCTCTCTCTCCCCCTCCGCCGCCGCTGCTGCCTGGAGCAGAAAGCAGCTGCCTTTCCTAGTCGCCGCCGTGCCGGCCGGCCGGCCCGGATCGGCTGCCGTTCGCAACCATCAGCGTCGGCAAGCTAGGTAACACTCCTCCTACCTTGGATTGGAGTATTGGACTTTCCCCTTCTCGCGCCGCCCAGATCTGAGCCCTCCCGCCCTCCGATGGCGACGCCGTCCTCCCCCTCCCGCTCCCCGACCTCCTCCTACTGGTGCTACCAGTGCGACCGCTTCGTGCGCGCCGCCGCCTCCGCCTCCCCCTCCCCTGCCTGCCCCTCCTGCGGCGGGGGCTTCCTCGAGGAGATGGGCGCGCCGCCACCACGCGCAGCCTACCTCCGCCGCCCCAGCGCGCACCACCACCACCACGTCGCCGCCGCATCCGCCGACCTCCGCGCCCGCCGCGGCGGCGCTGGCTCCGGCGCCACCGGCTCCCGCGCCTCGCCCTTCAACCCCGTCATCGTGCTCCGCCGCTCCCCTCCCAGCGCCACCGACGGCTCCTCCTCCCCCACCGCGAACCCAACCAACACCGGCAGCAGCTTCGAGCTGTTCTACGACGACGGCGCGGGATCGGGCCTGCGCCCGCTGCCCGACAGCATGTCGGACTTCCTCATGGGGTCGGGCTTCGAGCGCCTGCTGGACCAGCTGGCGCAGATCGAGGCGGGCGGGCTAGCGGCGGCGCGCGCCCGCGACGCCCCGCCGGCGTCCAAGGCAGCCGTCGAGTCCATGCCCGTCGTCTCCGTCGGCGCCGTCCACGTCGCCGCCGACGCGCACTGCGCCGTCTGCAAGGAGCCCTTCGAGCTGGGCGCCGAGGCCAGGGAGATGCCCTGCGCGCACATCTACCACGCCGACTGCATCCTCCCCTGGCTCGCGCTCCGTAACTCCTGCCCCGTCTGCCGCCACGAGATGCCCACCGACGCCCCGCGCGCCGCAGGCGCCACGGCCGCCGCTGGCGCCACCAACGCCGGGGAGGAGGAGACTACGGTCGGGCTCACCATCTGGAGGCTGCCCGGCGGCGGGTTCGCGGTCGGGAGGTTCGCCGGCGGGCGGAGGCCCGAGGAGAGGGAGCTGCCGGTCGTGTACACGGAGATGGACGGCGGGTTCAACAGCGGTGGCGCGCCCCGGCGGATCTCGTGGGGGTCCAGGCAGGCCGCGTCCACGGACAGGGGCACCGTCCGCAGCTTCCTCCGCAACGTCTTCGCCTGCTTTGGAGGACGCGGCCACGCCTCCTCTTCGGCGTCAAGGTCGCACGCCATGCCTGAGCTCAACGACGACGACGCGTCTGACCATAGTGCAGCGTTCAGCCATGGGTCTAGGAGCCGGAGCACCAGCTGGAGGCTCGAGGACGGCCATGCCGACGCCATGGTGCAGAGATGATGATTGCTGCCTGTCTGTAGTACAGTACGCGGCAAAAAGCTTGCTGCTTTGTTTCATTCATGTTGTATTTATTTACCATACTACTACTCCTGCTATTTAGACGAAGGAGAAGAAGGAATTGGAGGATTTGAGTTTGTAGAACAGGGCAAATTGGTGTTGTTGCAAGTACATAGGAAGGAGAGCAGCATCTCCACCTCTCTCTCTTTGTTAGAGACCAAACCATGCGTTTGCAATTTGCATTGCAGGTGGGGGAATTGTTCTTCAGTTCACTGCGAAACGGTGATTCTGAAATGAGCATTTGGTTCGTTGGTTATTATGATGTGATCGATCAACCGTTCTTTCATTATTGGTAGCAAATGGCTGGTGTGATTCTGTTCGATTCAGTTCTGTTCAGTTCAATGTGGCAGGCACCATTCTTTGCGTTTCTAACAACAACTCAATGGATACCACATCGCTGGCAATTGCTGGATTCAACAAAAATCTTTCTTCGCTGGCTATTGCTGGATTCAACAAAAATTCTTTCTTCTGCAAGGATATTCCATATGGTCTCCCTCTCTCTCTGTTCTTATCTGTTGCAGTCTTGCACCAGCTGGATGGATACACCTCATATGTTGACCATTTCCTGGCTACCTTCGGTGTTGTTTATCGCTATGATCAGCGATCAATCAGGTTCTTGCACAATATATAATGCTTGCTGTTTTTCTTTGGGTCACAAGTCAACGCCTCTTCATTCAGTCCAGCCCATGCCCATCTATCCAAAAAGAAACAAGATGCTCCATTATCTAACCCGGTGTCGTGTTCGCGTCCTCCCTATGAATAGACTGCCTGCCGGCAATCTTGAGTTTTGGAGGCATGTCGCGTCATATTCAGAACTTGGGATATTTTGCTTCTTTTTGATCCTACATAGTACTACAGATATACTTTTATGAAGCAAGATATTTGGGTATTTTGCTTCTTTTGTAGCTGTATCCTACTACCATAGTCTATGATCTATGATGCAGGAGGATATTTCAGCAAGTGTAAGCGGTGGTGCTGGACGAGTACTTTACTTGCTAGGCAACAGCATGATGCAGCCTGTTCGCTTGTTGGTTTCAGCCAGCCCAAACCAGCCAATCAACAGTGTTTTCCTCTCACAAAAAACCAGCACCAGCCAACCCAAACCAGCATCAGCACCAACCAGCGAACAGGCCTCCCGGTGTCTGTCCTGTCCTGATGCAAGCCAAGCAAAGGAAAGCACAAAAAGTGGCATCTCCATGAATTTACTTGCCCTCTTTTCAGTTTTACGTTACCCTCTGATGACCAGCGTGGCGCCTTTATATGGGGATGGGGACGAAAACTCGAAAAGGACCTGCACACTGCACTGCAGGTAATGGAGCTCACAATTAGTAGTAGATTCTCCTGATGGTTGACTCCGCCATGTGCTCCGTTTGCAGTACGTTAGTTTCCCGTCTCCTTTCACTCTCGTTCCGACTGCTTGTCTGCGAGCTGGATTTGCTGCAGCTGCTACCTTTGCTTGCAGTTGCATTGCAGACTTTGCAGTGCTCTCTGCTCTGCTACTGCACCACAACTTGGAATTGGGCATGGCCATGTCATCTGGGTACCACAATGACCATTTGGCTGGCATCACCAGTCAAAGCAAAGCATGCTCCTCCCCTTCACTTCTCACTTCACTTGCACGGTCGATGGTCCATGCTAGCACGTCCATGGATCCTCTTCTCATTCAGCTGCTCGTCTGAGAGCAGAAACCCGGCCCTGAAGGTGTTCTGCCGTGACGTTTCTTCATTCATTCATTTGTTCATTCATTCATGTAGGAGTACTGCTGTTGATGAAAACATGTTTGTACTACCAGGCAGGCAGGCCCAGCGAGCGATGATGGTGGTGATAAAGCCGTGCGCAGATGCTGCCGCGCTCCCGTTGTCTCTTCTTCAGGTAGCTGAGCCACAACGGCAACCGTACCGGAAATTGCGAGCTGAGGAGGACTGGAGTAGTCTCAAAACATTCAGTTCAGAGGGACAGACAGACAGAGAGGGTCTTGGTGCGACGTGCGAGCAATTAGAGCAGGTACGGTGGCTAATCACCTGTTGCGCTTGTCTCCAACTGCGCAGTAGGCGGATCGACAGGCGTTGCCACGAAATCTCTGATGCCATCATGCTGTCTCTGTGTTGCTAAGCTATCGACAGTTCACCAATTATATACTCAGTCTGTTCGCTTGTTGGTTTCAGCCATAGTTTATTAGTCATGGTACAATATTTTTCTCTTACAATAAACCAGCACCATCTGAGCTTATCAGCTCAGAAACCAACCAGCGAACATGCTGACTATATGCCCAAGAAAGAAGAAGAATGAGACTCTTCCATCTTCAGGAATCAAACGATCCGAAATTTAACTAGATTTATAGAAAAAAAAAGTCTCAACATTTGTATATCTAAATAGAGAGTTTATCATGAAAACATATTCCATGATCAATGCAGAGATACTCATTACGTATATATTTGATCAGATTTAGGAATTGTTTAACTTTTCCTCAGGAATCTAGAGCGAGATTTTCATTTCGTTTTGGGTCGGAGGGAGTGAGCACGTGTTCAGTGTGTTCTTGTTCACCCAGTCGTTTCAGTTTTGCTCTGTCTGAAACCAGATGCAAACTTCCTAGTTCCTAGTAGACTTTTTTGGTGAGTTTGTTTGAGAAGCAAAGGGTAGTGTCCACTCGACCAGAGTTCACGGGGTTGATACGGATAGGACAGGACAGGCTTGTTTGCACTGCAATTTGCACATGCTGATTGAGTTCTGTGACTACTACAAGCAAGCAAAGCGAAGCAAGCACACATGTGGGGTGTGGGTGTCCCGTGTCCGTGCCCGGTTTCGCCGTTGCTTCAAGAAACTGTTCAGGGTTCAGGGAGGAGGAGCGAGGTCTTCCATCGATCCATCGATGCATGCACGATTCTTGTTAATGGCAGTCTTCAAGAAACTGTGGCGTGCTTAGCATCCACGGCGACGGCTAAACACGCCGTGCTCGCTATATCTTGGATTCGGTAACAATAATATTATAATAATGGTGCATTATATTAGTGGAGGAATCAACTCAATTCAATTCGATTAAGACTCGAAGTGGTCCAACTGCTCCTTCACGGGTGTCTCGTGGCCCCAACGTGCAAGCCACCAACGGATATAAGCATATTTATAAAGTCGTTATTAGCTTGGTTTATCTTTACAACTAAAGCATTCATAACTATTTCGTCCACAGGTACGACACCAAAGCCGCTCGCTCCTATGCATCCCCCGGCGCGCGCTCGACTCATCCCCCGCTCGGTGTCTCCCCGGCATCATCCGTCATCTCTCTCGCAATCCTCGCAGTCCTCCAATCACGCTCCCTTTAATCATGCTCCCTTCAAATTGCGAGATCGAGTCCTCCATTCACGCCCCACACCATCGCGACCCTCTCCCCCGTGCCCCTCACCGATCGCGCGCTCTTCCCTGATCCCCTCGCTCGCCGACGCTCCTCACTGATTGGAGGCCGCCACGGCCGTTCTTCTTCAAGGAAGCACCCATCGTGTGCTTTTCCCTGATCGCGTCCTCCTCGCTAGATTGCTGCAGCCGTGCATCGAGCAAGGATGTCCATCACGATCATGCACCCACGCGGCCACGCCTACCCCGCCGACGCCTTCCCTCGTCGCTGCACGGACAACAGAGATGATCTAAGGTGAAAACCCGCGGTGGCGCGTCAGCGGCAAGCCACAGCTGCAACCGTCTTGGCCAATCAAGATCGTGGATCATCGACGTTGCCATCCAAGGTGTGCCCTTTTCTATTTTAGTTCTTTTTTTCCATAATATCTAAGTACTGAGACGACCAGATGACAAAGCGGCCATCACCCGGCGGCCAGCGACCATCAACAACAGCGTCATGGAATAAAGAGGGTGTTGAGGGACACCGCCAGAGTCACCACGCCGGCCGTTCCAGCTGACCGAAGACGGAACACGATGGCCACGTGCATGGCGCGGGCATCCACTCGCCCACGATGTAATCTAGCGGTTGCCAAATGAGCAACGCATGTTGTAACATGTATAAACCAAAGACAGATCAATGGAATCGTCTGTCGGCCCTATTCTACTCTTCTACATGGTATCGACTGACCAGGTTCATACCTGATCAAACAGCTCACCGCCCCCGCCGCGACCAGCTCGCCGGCCTCCCTCCTCATGGACCTCAATCCTCTCTTCGATGCCGATGGCTCCGACGGCGACTCTTCCTCCCACTCCTCTCTCGACGGACTGTCCTACACCGGCACCATTTCCGCCGTCCCTACTCCTCCCATCGCCGTCCTTCAAACCGTTAACATAAAATCCCATGTTCCTGTCGTCCTCGAACTCGCCAATCCCAACTATGACAAGTGGCGCTGTTTCTTCGACGCCTTCCTCGGCAAGTTCAATCTTGTCTCCCACATCTCATCTCCGCCGACCCCTGAGCAGCGTCACGACCCTGACTGGATCATCGTTGACCAGTGCATCGTCAGCTGGCTCTATATCTCCATCACCAAGGACGTGCGCAACATCGTCCGCGCACCCAAGGCTACGGCGTACCGCATTTGGCAGGCCATCCGCGAGCAATTTCGCGACAACGAACTGCATCGCGCCGTGTACCTTGAGGCGGAGTTCCGCAATCTGGTGCAGGGCGACATGGACATCACCCAGTACACCGGGCGCCTCAAGCAGCTCGCCGATGCTCTCCGCGACGTTGGCCAGCCGGTGCGCGAGACGAGCCAAGTCCTCAACATGCTGCGTGGGCTTAGTTCCAAGTACCGCCACGCGATCCCGGCGATCACCTCGCGCCAACCGCCGCACACCTTCCTTTCGGCGAGATCCTACCTTCTCCTAGAGGAACAGTATGACAAGGAGCACGCCAAGACCTCTGCCCAGCATGCCCTGCTCGCCACCGGTGGCTCCAGGCCACCTGCTCCTTCTAACGGTGGATCCAGCAGTGCTTAGCCGCCACCGCCCAACACCGG